TTGGTTTTATTGTATGATACAAGTACCGTACATATGATATGGAAAGGAACTGCTCTGCTGTCAACTTTCGTTCCAAACCGAATGCAAAACTGAAGTGTTGTCGTTCGGCTTCGCATTGTCAGAGAAGGATCCCATCAACGTCCAGACCGGCTGCGACATATGTAACATATTCGGAGGAACAGAGAGCTGGAGCACAGGGACGGTGTCATTTTCAATTTATCTTTTATCGAATGACAATAGCATATTTGTAATACAGCTGTTCATTTAGGCGCTGGATTCAAGGGGACGCAACTATCTATGGAATTGGCGGATATGTGCATTCATGCGGCCAAAACGTCTTCCTTGTATGGTAAGGATGTGGTTTTGGATGGACCGAAGACTGCCGGCATGAATCGGTTAAAAAGGCGAGACGATAGAAAGACGACATGCAGCAATGTGGTTAAGGTGGTGATATTGATTGCTGTCGACACTTAACCAGACTCGAAGCTTCCCACAGTTATGAAGCTTTTATTGCGCGCAGGAGCCTCTCCAGATAGCAAAAATGTTATTGGTAATACAGCCGTTCATTTAGGCGCTGGATTCAAGGGGACGCAACTGTCTATGGAATTGGCGGATATGTGCATTCGTGCGGCCAAAACGTCATTCTTGTATGGCAAGGATGTCGTTTTGGAAGGATTGAAAAGTGCTGACATGAATGGCAAAAAGGGAGTTGTTGGCGGGTACGATCCAGATACCGACCGCAGATCAGTTTATGTTCCCGAGGTGAGTAAGGAAGTTTGGATTAAGCCTCAGAACATCACGCTAGCAAATGGAGAAAAAATGGAGAAAAAACTCAATCTGGTCGATGTTGCCGATCGCTTTGGCAACGCTGCTCTCTTTGAAGTTTCCAGCAGCTAAATAGAAGACATGGCTGCATTTCTATTGCATAAACACAATGCAGACATCCACATTAAGGATCGAACGGATGTATCTCTCGTTGATTTGAGCCGCCACCAAGCAGCCTTTGGCCTCTTGCCAGTCGTTCGCATGGTTGCCGCACTCGCCCGAGCGCAAGCCAAGAAGAACCACGATTCTTCCAAGGAAAAGGCTGGAAATGTCTGTGCCAGCTGTCACAAACCGTTGGGAGAAAGAGGGAATGAAGTGCTCAAGGTGCTCCGTGACCTCTTATTGCAGCCGCGAGTGCCAAGTCGACCGTTGGAAGAAAGGAGACCATAAGCAAGAGTGCGGTGAGACTACTGCTTAGACTGTTTTTGGCACAGCTACCAGCTTCCAGAGAATGTCAAGGTGAGGGAAAAGTTTATTGTGGCCGTCCATTGCGAGTCTGACAATGCGCCCTTGTTGATACGCGACGAGAGTTCGACTTGCCAA